AGAAACCCACGAAAGGCAGCGGATAAATACTCCCCACTAGAATCAGAACGAAAAACTCGAATCGGGGTAGAAAACTGAGTGTGTACCATGCGAGCAAAGGTTTGGTAAATAGAACACAATTGAGACCGATGTTTCATAAAGTAAATCCAAGTATATTGAGAATGATCATCAATGAAAATAACATAATATTTATGACCACCCTTTGTAGCAAAAGCTGCAGGACCCCATACATCGGAATGAATAAGATCAAGAGGTTTAGCAGTATGGGAATCACTAATAGAATATGGGAGTTGTATCTGTTTCCCAAGCTTCCTTTACAATGAAAACTAGACTCGATAGATGCGGGGGACCTAAACAACCTTTATTTATTAAATTAGACAGACGAGACCCACATAAATGACCAAGACGATGATGCCACTTGGCGAAGGACGAGGTAGATGGCGATGATGACCAAGCGGCTGATGACGCATGAGTAGAAATGTGAGGAAGACGCAAGGTGTTGAGAACTTAGAGGCTAGGTGAGCCGCTATGGCGATGGCCAGTTCCAAGTACACTTCCGGTGCGACGATCCTGAATAAAGCAAGATGAGTCATCAAATCCAAGCAAGTTGACCAATAGAAAGGAGGTTCATAGACAATTGAGGTACAAAAGAGACATCAGGAACAGAGAAATAAGAGTTTGAAACAGTTTGAAAGAGAACCCTGATGAGTGATAGGACAAGATGCACTGTCTGCTGTCTGAATAGAAGCACCATCGGCAACCAGCTTGCAGGCCACAAGTTGAGACTGATCAGACGTCACGTGGAAAGAAGCCCCGAAATCAAGCACCTAGGATGAAGATGAAGAACCACCACCAGCAGCAGCAACTGACACAGATCCTTTAGGAGTAGAAACTGTACCATGACCCCTAGTGGTTCGAGCAGCGCGACGGGCACGGAATTCAACCAATTTCTCTGGATGATGCAAGAAACAATTATCCGGAGTATGTTCAGTTTTTGCCACAATGTGGACAAGGCTCCTGAGAGGCACCCTTTGGTGTACTGAACTTCTGAGAAGCAGCCAACACACTATGAGACACATGCATGGAAGAGGTCATAGACAGGAGACGTGTCTCTTCAGCGAGCAAATCTGACAGTGCCTTTGACATGGTTAGAGTGGAAGAATCATGAAGCAACCGAGTACGTATGGAATCAAATTCCGCTCTTACACCCATGACAAAACGATAAGGAACTTTTCAATAAAATTTGTGGGCTGGACAATCATCAGCTGTACAGTCAGGCACCATAGAGGTCAAGGATCCCATCAGACGACCAAAAGTTGAGAAGTACTCATCAACAGACATGTCTTGCTGCTCAATAACATGAGCTTGCTGCATAAGAGTGTGCAAAACATAGCGTGCCTTCAAGCATGACCAGATAGCCTTGGCTGTTTTACACTTGGACAGACTCATAATCATAGATTGCTTAGTACTGTTAACCATGGCAGCCATCACCTTGCCATCAATAGTCTGCCAAGTTTTGACATCAGCAGCATTACTCCGATCTTGCTGAAACGCAGGAGGATCATCAGTGAGATGAAAAAGGAGCCCATGACCCCTTAAAGCAGTTTCCACACAAAATGCCCACTCTGGGTAATTCTGACCATCAAGGGTAATATTGATAACAGTAGTGTTGATCTGAGACATGACTGAAAATTTGGAGCACCAACCAACAGTGAGAGAAGTCTGTTACCACCGTGCTTGAAAGCAGCAACAGGAGATTGTCTCTGTGGAAGAAGAGGATGAAGCTGGTTGCAGGAGTCCAAATCTCCACGGGCGGACAGCAGGAAGCCGGGCGGACGACAAGTGGGAGACCGCACAGACAGGCGCAGACGCGCGCACAGGCGGACCCGCAAGTGAGGGCAGACGACTTGGATGAAGGTCGCGTGGGCTGCCCACACACGACGTGGACGAAGACGTGCTCGTAGGAGAAGGGGCGCTGACGACGCTGAGCGGATGACGAATCCCCATGGCGCAGAAGACAGGCCGCTCACGCAGAAGACGGGCCGCGGACGGCGCTCATGGATGCGACACGCGCAGATGGGCGCGATACAAGCAGACGGGATTCCACACGTCATGACCCGCAATGCGGCCCCGCGTGGTAAGATGCGCGCGTGACGAAGACTGACGAGGCGAACGGCAACAGGCTGATCCGCGCGAAGAGCAGTGGATCCCGCGAGTGACGAATACGGACAGGGCGAACGGCGACAGGCCGATCCGTAGCCGGAAAAAAATGGATCTTGGGTGATTAGGGATTAGATGAGCCCTAATTCGACCCCTAAACCTTGCTTTGTTACCATGTTACTAACCTTTGAGATTTGAGAAGGTGATCACTCCAGTAGTGGAGATAGCTATATATAGAGAGCCTCATGGGCCATATGGGCCTTAGATGGGCCTTCATATACTTAACAGCAAACATACTGGAATTGTAATGGTATTGAAATACTTCTTACTTTTAATGGATTCTAGTATGATTTAATGAGACAACTTAAAAGCCTAAATGTAAGAGCCCTGTTGGGAGGGGGGCCTAGGGGTGCGGCGGCTAGGGTTAGGGGCGGCGGCTATGGTGGAGGAGAGGTGGCGGCTAGGGTTTGGGGAGAGAGGAGAAGGAGATGGCGCAGGGAGAGAGGAGAGGGAGACGCTAGAGAGAGAGAGGAGAGGGATATGGAAGCCCTTAGGCTGTTCTTTCTTGATTCTAGATGATTACAATGCCTCTATATTTATAGTCTTGAGTAGACTTGCATCTTATGTAATCTAACGAGGAAGGTCCTTATAGATTTGGACTCCTTTGGATCCTATCTAATCTAAACCGACTCCTCGCGACGGCGGTGGGCGCGCTATAGTACCACGTGAACAGTACCCGTCGCACTTCCCTATCCCTCTCCTCTTTGGGCCTCCTTGGGCCTATCCCTTGGGCCTATCATTAGACGTATGACACTAAATATTTATTGCATATTTCTGATCAATTTGTTCCAAAAAAGAAATTGACCATGTGGATTCTAGCATGGCAACTGACAAGCTTAAATATTTATATGCATATTTAATGTGGTAGCATTAGTTGTACCTTTCTATAGTACTTTTGTGTGTTGGCAGTAGTAAACAACTGAAGATGGGCCTTGCACATACAATTTGTTATAATATAAAATGCATTCTTAACTAACAGGTATGTCCTACTGTATAGAACTTTATACCTAGATAAACTATTACCCCTTCTGTCCAAAAAGGATATCAAACTTTTCTCTTGAACTTTTCTGAGTCATGTACTGAACTTTATAGCACGCAAAGACGCAATCAATAGTGTCTTACTAAACATCATGGTCCTTGATTATTTATTTAAGAATTGAGGTTTGCTTCAAATTTTCAATCAAACAAATCATTAGAAAGACGTGAAAAGAAAATATACCTTCTAAGGGTTCTTGACAAACCATCACCTTTTACTTCCATGTCGACAGGGTCTATCTAATATAGGTGATATTTAAACTTATTTTCTATGTAAGTTTATCATCCAATTTCCACATTGACATCACTCTATTTTAATTCAATCTTTTTATTTGTCTCACCATGGAATAGGGAGCAAAAAAAAATCTGTCTGTTACTTTCTCTTCCTCGCATTGCATCCTGACCGAGGTTTCTACACTCAGGTTAATATAAAATTGCTTGAGGTGTATGTTGTTACTAAATATCTACCTAAATCAAGAGAAGAATCATTGGAGAACACCTGTACGTTTGCTTGTTGATAGGCCTTCACGTACTATTAAACCCAGCATGTTGGTAAAGTCCATGCCCCAAGTCTGTCCGTGCTTCGAGTAGCCGCAGTATGTAGAGCCTAGAACGGAGCGGTGGCTGAAGCAGTACTGCAGTAGACAGTGGTGCACTGGAGCTGGGCAATAGGCTTCCAGAATGCCTCCTGTCTGGAACTGGCTTGTGGCTGCGCTTTCCCCAAGCATGGGGGACACACTGCTTTATCTCTTTCTGAACCTTATCACTTCTCCATATGGCTTATCTTTTCTTCTCCCTGGTTTATATCTTCATGCCTCCATGCCTGCAGCAACCAGCAGACCACGGGCAAGCGGCAAACCACAGTAGGCAAGTGCAGTAGCGTGGGTACCCACGACGAGTGTGCCATGACGGATAGCAGAGCACCACAACCGGCAAGCGCGGTGACGTGGCCACCCACGATGGGCAAGCGTGGTGGCACAGCCACACTTGTACGGCCAGCAAGTGCGTCAGTAGAGCCACCCACGTCAGGCATCGTGCTACAACAGGCAAGGATGACGGTATGGCCACCCATGGTGAGCGCTGCCAAATCAGGCGGCGGCGTGGTCACATTCTGCAGCGGTGTGCACATCCACATCGAGTGAGCCGCGGTGGGGATTCACCGGAGGCAGTAGCGGACCTGGAACATTTTTTGAACCTGGTGGTTTAAGGGGCTAAATAGCGGAGTAGGCCTAATCTCCACTGTACATGGGCTACACATTAATTAGATCTAATGGAGTTCAACGCCGAGGAGCCTGGGCGGAGGCCCAGGGTCACCGGGCCCTCGGTCTGCTTGTGACCGAAGGAATTCCTTCACCGCCTCCTCTCACCGTTACCTTTGAGAGTGGAGAAAGGAGATAAAAATGGGGAGAAGAAAAATGATGAGGAGAAACATGGATCTATCTGTTGGCGTGAATTTTTTTTATATGATGGCAGTGGTGTTGGGGGTGGGGGCACCAACTTCACCATGGGTTGAGTTGTGTCTCTTTAGTCAATGTCAAAAATAGAAAATTAAGTTTTTCAATCAACAGACTATCACAAACTAATGAATTCATGAGTGATGGCCTCAATAAACAAATAAATTGCTTTACATTTTCTGTTGGATTTGTCTTGTTGAATGAGGAGAAATGTCTGCTATATATGGCTTGCTGTTACTGGCAGACTTTGGAACTTTTTTCTTACCATTTCCCCATATTTACCTTTTGCAGAATGGCCAAGATGTGGAGTTCTATGCACCGTCATCATCAAAGTCAGTTTCTGATCATTTCTGGAATAAGAGGATTTGAGATTCCTCCTGTTCCAAGAGAGACAACTGATTCTCATTACATCCAGACTTGTGAGCTACGTGACATTGTTAGGGAGTGGCATACGCAGTTTGAGAAACTGATGGACAATCAGAAAGCATACATCAGAGCGCTCAATGCATGGCTGAAGCTCAATCTCATCCCAATTGAGAGCAACATAAAGGAGAAGGTCTCCTCCCCTCCAAGGCTGGTGGATCCACCCATCAAGCACCTGCTGCACGCCTGGCATGACGAGCTCGAAAGGCTTCCAATTGAGCTTGCAAAAACAGCCATTAAAACCTTTGCCGAAGTCATAAGCAATATCGTGCACCTTCAGGAGGAGGAAGTAAACCTAAGGAGGAGGTGTGATGAAACTCGTAGGGATCTGACCCGAAAGAGGGCACAGTTTGAAGATTGGCATCAAAACTACTTGGAGAGACGGGCAGCATTTGGTGAGGATACAAACCCAGATGCAGCAGAAACTAAAAACATAGATCCTGTCGAGGATAGGAAACGCAACATCGAGGAATTAGAGGTTCGGCTGAGAGAGGAGGAGGGGCACCATCTTAGGCATGCCAGGCAGGTGCGGGAGAAATCACTTGCAAACCTCCGGACACACCTGCCAGAACTTTTCAGGAACATGGCCGATTTTGCTTACTTTTGCCATGACATGTACAATAATCTTAGAAAAACTGCTGTGCTGCCCAAAGATTAAGTCTAAGGCTGATATTTGTGCGTCTGTAGTCGTACTCAACAAGCAGTATAAGGGACTCTGGTTTTAGGTGTTTGCTGGTAACTTGGGATCCCGAGGCCATCTAGAATTTATCGGAACTTAGTCTTATAGAGCTAATAGTCGGAATTAATTATGTTTATAAATTGGAATGGACATTCCTGAGTTCCCATTGTTTATTGCCATGCTCTGTACTGCATTGATGCGTTATTAAATCTAAGATTGCTCTAAGCTATCGCTGAGCCAATCGAGCAAAATGCACATGTTCATTAACTTTTCCACTTGTGTGTTGGATCTATTAACTTTCAAAGCGAAGATTTAGATCATTAAAAATGTTGTCTATACCAGTTTGGGGAGCATAGATCCGACGTGTACACGTTTGTACACGGTTGGAACTCTACTATAGACCAAAGGCACCTTTAGCCCTGCCTATATTGAAAGCAAAGAGTTTTGTTGGGATACCAGCTTACAATGAAGACTCAAAGTTCAGTAACATAGCAGGGAAACAAAAACCTCTCCACGTCAGAACTTAACAAAAGACATCTAGACCGAACGTTTTAGGCAAAGGAACAAGAATGAAAAAAAAAAAACACTACGCTGGGCACGACAGAAAACGACACCCTTCAACATAGGACGCCAAGTCTTCAGCAGCCTTTGATCACCATGCCCTGAGCCCCTCCTGGAGTTTCTGATGGTTGGAACTCTACGTTCGGCCAGTCCCCTGTTCCCCCTGGTCCCTTCCCAAGAGCGTAGAGTGAACTAGGTGGTGGTGGCGGGATTCATGACAATATGTGAGCTTGGTGTGGAGAAGAGGGGTACTGCTAGAAATCATGCATTTTCATGCCTGATCGTAGTGAATCTTGTGGTCGTTTCTCATGGAAGTTCTCACTCATTTGAAATTTGGCCAGTCGGTGTAATCTCATTTCTAATCTACTTCGTACCGCTTCCACTCGGATCCTTCTGAATGGACAACCAGAAGCAGAAATTAGACATCAACGTGAGCTCGGACAAGGAGACCCACTCTCTCGGATGCTGTTTATTGTGGTGATGGACGTCCTAAATAGTTTTTTCAACAAGGCTGGTGAGATTGGGTTGCTATCACCTCTATCTTGTCGCAACCCGGGGTAGCGGATATCACTTTATGCCAATGATGTGGCTATCTAATACCTGCGTAGGAAAGATGAATGTCACCATTCATATATTTGGAAAAGTTTGATGAAGCATCAAGACTTAGGACCAATTTGCAGAGTGAGTATGACTCTTCCTTGTACATTGGCGGAATTTCCATGTACGTACTTGGGGTTACCAAATTCAGATAAGAAACTAAGGAAGTCAAGCTTGCTGCCTTGGATTGAGAAGATTGGAGATAAACTACCGGGATCGAAAGCTATGCTTATGAACATGGCAGGGAGAGCTACTGTGGTTCGGTTTATTCTGTCCGCAATTCCAGTTTATGTGTTGATTGCTATCAAGGTACTGAAATGATTCGTCAAGGCAATGGATAAAATCCGATGTGCCGGGGTTTGATATTTATACCCAGGACCTACATATGACTCCTATCTAAACACGACTCATCACAATCTTTGGCCCTAAGAGAAAACATTCCTAATTTAAGATAACTTGTACTCTAATCTTTCTCCTTTTGTAGAGTCCATCATGTCTCGTCCTGGCGCCGATCGTAGCCTTTGTCATTATCTGCCGGCGCTGCCTGAAGAAAGCCAATTACAGTGCTGCATTCGAATCAGCTGATTCCGATCTGCACGCAATTGATTCCCTACTGTCATGATCTTGGGAGCTTTCTAGTTCCTTACGACTCTTTTTCCAAATTTTGGTGTAAACAGTTGCATATATTGTTGGTATTGATGGCAGCACCGGCTGGAAGTGAGAATTTCCTGATGATGTTCGGAACTCCTACTTTGCTTTGAAGAGTCTTGCACTTTGCGGGGTATTGTGAACCACCCCTCTATCACTGGAATGAAATATACTTGGAGGGACTTTGTAACACCTCTGGTGTTTTGACCTAGCACTAAAATTTGACATGTCATCATATGTATTGCAAAGCATTCATGGAGTAGAAAATTTTGAATGCATTCACTAAATAAGCTTTATTTCATAATGTTATTTCATGTGATGTGTTTCAAAACCCTAAATAAAGATCATGACCACAAGGGTCAAATTTCATGTGATCATGTGAGGCCATGTGTCATTTGACTCAAATAACCCTAATGGGCCATGTTACTGGTCAAAAATCAAAGTTAAAGTAAAAGAAAGACAAATCAAATTTGAATTCAAATTCAAATTATAAAAGTCCTTTTTGCCCCATTTTACTAATTCAAATTCCATGTGGAATTTGGGGTTGAGGCAAAAAGCAAAGTTAAAGATTATTTTATGTGGATCAACTTTGGTATTCAAAGTTTTTTAAGTTTACATATAAAATTTGGAGTAATTTTGAAATGATTCAAATACTCAAATGCACCCAAATTCAAATTTTAAAATGGAGGCAGAATTTGAAAATATTCATTGAAGCAAAGTTGTAGAGTTTAAAAAGTTGAGCAACTTTCATTTTTGGAGATTTTCAACTTCTTTAGAAAATTTGGAAGTAATTTGTAAAATGAACTCAGTGGCAATTTTGTAATTTCTCGAAACAGTAGCCGACCACCGCCCCACCGCCGGCGTTCTTTCTCCGGTCTTCCAGGCGCGTCTGCGACCGCCCTCGGCTTCACGCTGGCACGAGCAGCTCGCTGCGTGTCGAGTCCGCGCGCTCCTGGCCGAGCTATAAAGCCCAGACGTCGCCGTTCATTTTTCTTTCTTTCCCTCTGTTTTTCCCGACGCCGCCGCCTTAGCTCCGGCGAGCTCTCCTCGCTTCCTCAGTCTAAACCAGCTTCGACAAAGCAGTGTTCCAACTCCGTCTCTTCCTTCGGAACCCATCCCACCAACTGAGGTTGTCTGAGTCCACCGAGAACCACCGCTAGTGATTCTTCTTCCTCGCGGCCGGCGACCTCGACCGAAACTCCGATTCACCGTGGCCAGCATCGTCCGATGAGCTGTTGCCCTTTCTTGTGGTCTCTACAGCTTCGTCTCGACGCTGTGATGCTTAATCCGTTCTTGCTTGGTCGTTTTGTTCACTGCAGTCACCGAAACTCCATCGCCGACGAAGTTTGCTTCGCCGTGACCGCTGTCACCGTCAACCTGCGTTACCGTAACTCCTCCGGTCTCGTTCTTTGCTTCAACACGTTCGGGGTGAGCTGCTGATCCTTTCTAAGTCTTTTGTTTGATCTCTACTGGCTTTGTTTCGCCGGCGTAATGCCGCCGTGCCACCGCGTCCGCCATGGCCGGTGTCAGCCTTATTCCATGTCGTAATCAACCTTCGTAGTGCCACAGATCGATGCATCTAGTCGTTGTGAACGTTTTGGTGCTATGGCCGTCGCTGTTGGGCTCACCGGTGACGAGTTCGTGTCGATCAGCGCCGTCGTCGTCCCGGTCAAAGCCGGAGGTTAGGGATGACAAGTGGGTCCCGTATGTCAGCGACTGTATAGTTCAAATTGAATTTTTCTATTTTTAGAAATGGATGAATAGTGTCTATTTTTGTTATTTTTGTGTAGATTTGTTTAGAGCTCCAAAAATTATGAAAATTTTTGTGTGATCTCTCTGTGATGAATACTATTTAGGAAAAATATGAAACTTGAAATTTGAATAAATTTTTAATGTTCAAAAATTTAGTCAATTAATTGATAAATGCAATTTCCATAATTTTTGTAGGTCACTGTATAGCTCCAAAAATTATAAAATTTATTTTGGTATACTAATTTGTTATGAGGAAGCTTACATAAAATTTTGAGGTCATTTAGAACAAGTTTATTTTTGGGTTTATTTCAAATTAATTAAAAATTGAATAAAAGCAACCCTAATTGTTAGGGTTAGGGTTTAATTTTTGTTTGGGTCATGTCGTGTGACCAGTAGGGTTTCAAGATCAGTTTGGTAAAGTCACATGTGTGGTTCTTGCCGGTAGAATTGCAAGTTGGTTTTGTTGGCTTGCAACTGTACCGTGAAGAAAAATCGTATTCGGGGTGTTGTTACATTTCATGTACCGTGAAAGCATCATGTTTATATTATCATCATGATAAAGCATATGTTATCATTTCGTGTAGAACCCGAGAGTGAAACGATTCTAGTTGAGCAAGTCCTAGAAGGATCCCCGGTTGTCACGGGATTCAATAATTGTGGTACTGATCCGAAACATGAGATCGTCAATGAAGGCAAGCCCCGGTTTATGCATTAAGCCATTACCTTGTTTACTTTGAAAAGTTTATCACCCATGTTACCTATTGCATTAAGTTGATTAATTCAAATGTTACCTACTTGATGCATTGCCTACCTTGTTAATTGTTTCCCATCCTTGAAGATGATTTCATTGACAAAGGCGTAGAATGCTTAATATGCTTTATGGTAGGCTTTCAAAGTAAAAGTTTCGATACAATCAAAGATGGCATACTGGCCAAAGAAAGAAAGAAAGAAAGAAGATAGAATGAACTAGAGACTAGTCGGGTGGCTTATCTTGAATGTTGTGTAATGTTGCCGACTATGTCGCTTAAAGGCCACTCATTGTGGATCTTCTGAACGAGACACTTTGTAGTACTGGTCACATACTCCGGTAAGCCTACTTCGGCTAATCCGATACTAAGACGAATGCCCACGCACTGGGAGTGGTGAGATGGCGGGAGTAGCGTGTACCCTCGTGGCTTGAATGTGGCCGGATTTGAGGCGTGCTGTGCTCTCGGGTGGCGTGGAGACGGCTTAGTACGGGAGGATCCGGTAGCGAGGTTGATATATGCAAGATTAAGTTCTACATATGTCGTGTGATAAGGAATCCCCAGCTGGGACTTGAATCAATTCGAATTGCCGGTGCTCCGCGGATATAGAGACTCGATTCATTACAGAAGCAATGTAGGACTGGTGAATTACTAAAACTTGAGAAAAGGAATGGA